TTATAAGATTTATATATAAGTATTTCTATTACGTTTTTTGTACACTTACGATTGAGGATCATGAAAATCTTTGGCTACTTCCTCAAATTCCTCCTCAAATTTATTAACAGTATCTTGATCAATAATATTAAGCTTGTTGTCTTCCTCAATTATCATTGCAGTTATTGTGAAACTAGGACACATCGTAAGAATACGAACTCCTGTTTTGTCATAAAATTTCTAAAAAATGTGTTACGTTAGTAAAATTTTTTATTACTTTGGATTATTGTTAATATAAAATATTTTAATGATTTGAATAAATATTTATAAAATTATAAGAAAATAATATATGCAAAATTATATTTTTAAAAGAATTTTGAAATATCTTTTTCGAATAAAATTATTTCGTGTCCGGTATCGAACTTGCATGCAATTATATCAAAACAAAAAATAAGAAACCTTTTTAACAAAATTTGTCGTATGTAAATTAATATATCTCTTAATGAATAAATATGTTTAAAATTTTTTGATATTTAAATACATAACAAATATATAAGGCAACTGAAGATATTTTTTTAGATATTCTTTATCCTTTAACAAAATTAGAATATTTTAAAAACTTCTTTTATTATTTGTATTTCCTATTTTTTTCTTTCAAACAATTAAAAAAATATAACATTTGTAAAAAAAAGCTTACGGTATTGTAAAAGGTTCCATATTTTACAAAATATAAGTTACCTCAAGACTGAGACCAAACCCGACGACAGCATATTTAGAAGAACTATATACCGGACATAAAAAGAAAGGAAAAATGCCAGCCAAAGACGCTATATTTACTATTGTACCTCCTTTGCCACCTTTATGTTTTCCCATGTAATCCATGGCTAACATCGAGCCGCGAATTAACGCTATCTATAGAAATAATTAAAGTATATAATATTAATAAAATATATAATTGACGCATGATTTATATATATTTATAATTAATCAAATTATTAAATATTTATAAAATTATGTTTAATAAATATTCTGACAAATTTTATAAGATATATAAAACATATTAAAAATGAGAGTTTTCTAGTAAAGAAACTTTATGAAGACTTTTGTCATTTTTAAAAGTTTTTGGCATTGCAGAATTCGATTTTGGTCTCAGAATTCTAAAATTTAGATATCAAAAAAATAATTTGATATTATAAATCTCGGTTTTAGAAGGTGCTTAATATCGCTGAGGGTAAAATTATAAAAATATCAAACTTTAAAAGGTAGTAATCTATAATATGAAGGAGAATCTAGTATTGACACGAGTCGTAATCGTAGAGATTGGAAATCAGTAGATAGGTATTGTTTGCGTAGCATTTATGTGCTTCAAATAAAGAGAGACTGGAAATTTAGTGTACTTTTAATTAATTCCCTAAAATAGAGTTTTATAACACACTATTAAAAACACACGCACATTATTCAAAAAAATTTTTTTCCGTTATATTGAATTTATTTTTAGTTTTTTTATTTTTGATTTTAGAATCAAATAAAGTATTATCAAATTATGAATATATATAAATTACTCATGAAAATCATACGAACAGTTTATATAATAAATAAAAGGAAGTTTAAATGAGCTTATCCATCTATAGAACTAATATATTTATTTATAATAGTTTTTCAGAAACTCTTACTAAAATAAGTAAATTATTCCATTAACCAGTAAAAGTTTAATGCTTTATTACTCACAACGTTAATAGAAAACGTTTTTTCGATGCAACGGTCACGACATATTCCAGCATTATTAACAAGTATATCGAGTCCATTAAATTCTTTGACAATTTTCTTGAAGGTTTCTATAAGGATTAAAATAATCGATTAATATTTACTTCTACTTACTAATATTTATTTTACTAATTTAATGGATATTTCGTATCTAAAAATATAAAATAAACATTATAATTATTGACAATAAATATTGACATAATTATTGATAATAAATTATTGGCAATAGTTCGGTAAAAAATATTTAAGAGATATCACAATTACCGCTATACATTTCCATGTTTGTCACATCAGTTGGAAAAAAAATGACGCGATCTTTTCCAAATTTTTCTTGCAAAGTCACCGTTGCGTTGTAACAACGTTCTACCGGTAAATCGATGATGGCGATTTTCTAAAAATTAATAAGCCAGATGGGAAATCCATCAACTCCATTCTTTTATTTTTAATTCTGAAGTACCTTTGCGCCTTTACGTAATAAATCTTCGGTAATGTAGTAGCCAATGCCGGACCCAGCACCCGTGATTATCGCCGTTTTATTTTGTACGTTGTCCATTATCTAAATGTTATTGCGTCAAAAGGATTAAGTATCGAAAGGATTAGATACAGAAATAAATGCTTGGCTGTGCGACGCTTTTATATATCAATAATCTGGTTGGCGCGTAGTTAATTTATAAAGAAAATAAATGTTTAAAACTTGTAAATATCTAATCTCCACACTTATCACCAAATGTTCTATGATAATTAGAAGCTATTTTTAAATGAGTCTACGCGTAAGTTTAAAAGACTCTTTAATTATGTTGCACATATTTATGTTTATTAGTTGAAGCAGGCATTCAACAAATGCAAAAATGCAAATGCGTGAAGGCAAATATATGATTATATATATATCCGATTTTTCAAAGTTCAAAAAAGTCCTGTTATTAACACAGATAATATTTATAAAAATAATCCTTTTTATTGTAAATTGATTGTAATTGTATGTATTTTAAATTTAATTATTGAGAACACTTTTATCAAACCATCTTCAACTATTCTTGAATCGATATTATATTGTATTTCTCATAATTTCGTTTTTCTACTACAATCTATTGTAATTATATTCACTTTTATTTATAATTAGAATAGGTGTGAAAGGTAGATATATATTAAATTATTTTATATATGTATATTATACACATTTATTTTAGCATTCTATGCTTCATCAGTTTTGTTAAAAGGAAAAGAATCTAGAAAAGTGTCATTGTTATTATCGCTATCTCTATTTATTCTCAAAAAATAATAGAGTGAATATTATATTATTAGCTGCTATATTAAAAATATGTTGCCATAAATTTAGAATTTTCAATATTTAATTAATTTTATTTTTCTTATTATATATTATTTATCTATGGCTAATTCGAATCTCGAGAATGTGCAAGCGGTAAGAATTGATTTTGATAATTTTTTCAAAAAACCAATAAGATCTTTTGATAAATCTGTGGCTTTTTATAATATAAATGCGATATATATTACATTTATTAAAACATATAATTTAATGTTTTTATTTTTGGAATTTTCATAATTAAAAGTTTAAATCTATACATTTTCTGTTATACATAGAGGATAAATAATAAATGAATTTAATATTTGAACATAATGCATCGTAAGAAAAATTTTGATGGTCTGAGATTTCATGCCGCGCTGTAAAACTATAAAATCTATTTTTAGAATTGTTGTTTGAATAATGTATTTATTTTTAAATCATGGAAGTATTGAGACACAGTATTGGTATCTCTGTAACAAGGATAATTCGCCATTGCAAACTGCAGATTTTACACCGAAATCTTCAAATCAGTGTAAATTGGTAATTGTACGGCGTAAGTAGGTTGATTGTTTTCGCTGACAAAGACCGCGCCGTTTTCTCCTTTTTCAATCAATTCCACAATAGCAGTTGCCACGTGCTCGGATCTGTTAAACGGAAAAAAACATTATGTATAGAGTCATTATATAAACCCTCCTTACCCATTAATCATTTCTATAATTAATATAATCGAATCGCAACAGAGAAAAAGACGACTTTATTTATTTTTAATACGATTTATGAGAAGATATGTTTATACATTAATTTATAATTTAAATTATAATCAGATGTAATACTTTGATTTGTTATAATCAATTTTTGTGCATAAATATTAATTTGTTACTTTTATATTATTTTAAGATTTATTATTATTTATTTGTTTTATAATTCTTAGATACAAAAATAATGTATTTTGTATGAAATATCGAAATATGCTAACTGTAAACTTACGATTGACTCTCCATTGTCGTCATCTCTTTGGCAGCGATCTCGTCGTCAAGTAAGTCCATCGCATAGATCTTGCTTGACATAAACTTCGAGGCCAAGCCAGTAGTTGTAAGACCAGGGCATATTAATAATACACGTACGCCTGTTTTCTCGTAGAAAGTCTAGAAATACAAAAAAAAAATATCAATGTAAAAAAGCCCATAAGCCTTTTAGTGTTTTAGTCATCCTAGCATTCAACATAAAATAACGGTAGTATAGTACAAATAATTTGAGATGGAAACTTACAATTAAAATTATATTTTTTATTTGTTTATAAAAATTTTACCAATAACGATGAGGTAAATCCAACAATGGCAAAACTTATCCCAGCATAAATTGGAGCAATCGGATTGCCTTGCAGGCCGATTATAGAGGACATATTGACGATAGTACCACCTTTCCCTCCCTTATGCTTTCCCATGTGATTCAAGCCCAATATCGTGCCACGTACAACTCCTTTCTGATTGTAAATATAATGAAACAATAAGAGCGACAAATTTAAAATAAAAATAATAAATCAATCCCTAACTCGTTACTCACGTAATTAACATCAACCATTGGTTCCCATTCCGCGTCATTCATGATACCAGCATTATTGATAACAATGTCTAGTGTGCCGAATGACTCTATTGCTTTTTTGAAACAAGCTGCAAAAATTATAAATGCATAAAAATGCTTTTGTTTGTCGCAAGGAAATATTTCATTAAAATTATATAGATGAATTTAATTAGAAATATAATTTCTCTTTCTCCCGAAATATTATTAGATCATTAGATTAATTAGATAATAGTAGGTGAAAATCGATTGAAAAATGTTCAACGTAAATAGTAGATTAATTAGATTAATTTGCAATTTGCAAAATAATCTAAATATTATAGAGTATGAATTTCAGATCGACTGATTTCTTATAATAGTAATTTTTCATAGTAAAGAGAATATTAAATACTGCTTGATCATAGAAATAATATTATTTTAAACTTATTTGTTTGACAAATAGATGATTAATACAGAAAATAAAAAGTGTAATTTGCGATAATTCTTAACAGGATGAGACAGGATACTTATATATTGTATATAACTATATAATACTATCTACTTGTATTGTATTTTATAATTTTGTATTTTTAATTGCAATTGATACGTTTAGCAACTGATTAATACAATACCTGTCAATTCTTCAGCATTCGCTACATCTCCAATAAGAAAAATAGCATGATTCGCACCGAATTCCTTCTCCAATTCCGTAACTGCATTTTCACCGTTCGAATCGGGCAAATCTATGATTGCAACGGCCTGCAATTATTAAAACAAAGTATAAATGGAAAAAAGTTTTGTTGCATTATTTGAAATTCCAGATTCAACCAGAAAGGTACACAAATATCTCAAATACTTATAATAATTAAATCTATTGAATATTTTAATTAAGATAATTAGAAATTTTATTACAATAACCAGATTTCTGATTCATATGATCAAAATTCGTTTTGTTGATACAACTAGAACATTTTTTTTTGTTTAATTACCTTCACTCCGCTTCGAAGTAATTCTCGGGCGGTGCAATAGCCGATGCCGTTGGCTCCACCGGTGATAAGCACGGTTTTCCCTTGAATCTCCATCAAAAATATGTTGTGTTCAATATACTTTCGAGAGATAACGCAAATTTCGAATCACACTAACGGAGTGATCCCGTTCAGCACCGATCCGCAAATGAATTTGACGGTATTGCTAACGAGAAGTCATATAAGTTGAAATTCGAGAAGTCGATCGTATATAATAAAATATCAGATGCGAATAGAAATCGGATAACACAAGCTCGTTCTCGAGGTAAATAAGATCGGATTTGCGCATCTAGATGAGAGTAGTTACATGAGAAACGCATGAAATACAATCGAAACCGCTAACTAAAAAATATTATGAGAGAGACAATTCATTTCTTAACGCAGATGAGATATTATTATTATTATGTGAATAAAATTACGTTGAAAATATAAACAGGATTAAATGTTATAAAATTAATTATAATAAAATTATATTTAATTAATTTAGAAAAAGAAATATATTCTTTTTCCTCATAATTAAATATATTTATGATTTGTTGTTATTAATTATAAAAATAAAAAATATATTAAAATTCTTTAATTAATATCGTAGTATAATTCCTACTAATTATTAATTGCTATTTTTTTACTATTTAAAAAAAATTTGAAGAAAATAGCTAGGGGAGGGGGAAGGGGTGAGGGAAACAAGGAAAATAATGAGTCTTTTAAAAAATAAATTATAAAAGTGTTCTAGTGTGAGAGAAAGAGAGGTAAATATCGCTGGTTTATTAATTTTATTAAAAGGCAATGCATTTATTGGCAATATTAGCAACGTACATATCGTAACACATATCGTAACAAAAACGAAACTGATCGTTTCATCGATAAAAAGCTACAGTAAAGGATTACGCACAAACAGGCGATATCATTTAAAAACAAAACTCAATTAGCTAGACATCTAACCGATGTATCGGAGCTTTGTAATTTGCATATCAAATAAATTGTCCCTCGTTTTCTAACAAGTATCTAATATCGAAAGAACGTGATCGCGTCGAGTGTCGTGCTTGCACTTAGGCTACAGATTCTAACTCTATCTCGCTATACCGTTTCTAAATATTTCTGTTTTCCTCAAAATATTGTAGAAAAATTATAGACACGATTGGATATATAATTTCATTTGTGGAGTAATTGTCCGACGGATTTCGGTTCAATTGCATTCGCGGTACAGACAACTGATGCATGTAACTCTCGAAACATCGAATCGTCGAACTTCAAAGTGGAAATTGGAATAAAGTCAGTTCTCAATTTTTTTAGTAAGGTCCTAAAATTGAATAGATTCTAAATATATCCAATATAAAGACTGTATCTAGTTATGCTTTACATTTTAACTTATTATTCCACTTTTGTTGAATTACACACACACACACACACACACACACACACACACACGCACGCGCACGCGCGCACACACACACACACACACACACACACACACACACACACACACACACACACATATATATTTAAAATATATATATAAATATATAATATATATTATTTTTTCTTAGATGTAATTAAGAGATTTTCGACATTTCGTGAATTTTGTGAATTTAGAGTTACTTGCATTAGTCATCATAAAAGTGTGTAATCTTTCTTCCTTCTTTTTTTGTACGCTTCGAGATCGCGAAAATAAATGCTTATTTCCTTAATAGTTTTATTTTATCTCTCATATACGCTCTCCCCTCATCTTCCTCACACAAGCAATAAATATAAAGTGTGTCTATTACACTCGACCTGAAACGCGATTACATTACATGCAGCATATATCATTAAACGGAATGGCGTTAAAGGAATTGTCGATATTACGACATGTGCGTTAGAGAAATGAGTAAGTCACGCGACGGTTACAGAGTGCGGCAGGATTGAAATGTCATTGCGATAATTTCCATTTTGATGCGATATACACAGGTTTACTTGCAACGCTTAGAAATTCCTCGAGAAATTCCTACAAATTTCTCGAACTTAAGAATCCTCGGCTGACACGAGCGTTGTTGAGGCCTGCATGTGCAAAAATCGACGGAAAGTTGCAACGCGGGTGCGGGACGGAAGCGAAAGCCATTATTTTTACATAATTTTTGTAAAGATTTTTATAATTTTCTGTAAAGATCGTGCGGATCTTTTTATTCTTTTCTTTTTAAATATCGCGATTATCTCTCTCGCGTAATTATCAAATCCGAAGACTCGCCGCGTTCTCTGTCGCGGGTTTCTGCTAACAATAAGTATAAAACGTATCAAAAGGATCGTTTTTTATAAAAAATCTGAGATGATGGATCAATCTCGAATAATGCATTTGTTGTTATTAAAAAGAAAAATAAAAAAAAAACGCATCGGTCTTTTAAAAGTTTTGGTACGAAAGTACAAATAATTACGTTTCGCTCGTGTTTCCGCCTTTTTGACGGCGCGATGGGATCCTATATATCTCGATACAAATTACAGTTAATTGTGTGGTATGGCATAGATATTTGCAGCGAAGCGAGGAAGAATCGTTGCACGCGCTCGGGACTCTCTTAGTGCTTTGAAAAACTGATTTCGTGCGGCGGTTGGTCCTTCTCCACCATCCACACGCTTCCGCTCTTGCCGGTGCTGAGCACGTGTATCAACGCCTTCGCTACGTGTTCCACCCTGTAACATCAGTTATTTGTTACAAATTGTTGATGCTAATGTTATTCTACATTTCTGTATTTAGAGAAGATATTATGTAATATCGTTACATATAAAATAACTTTATTCTTTATGCTATAATTACTTTTTTTCCTAAATTTAATTTAATTAATTTGTTAATTAAAAATAGTATTTTAAAATGATACCAAGGGATTAAAAAATAACAATTGCTCATTATTATTCATGTACTTGATTTTTTAAATCATGAATTATTTATTCACAATTAAGTCGAGAGAGAAATTATGTGAAATATATACCTTTGAGGAATTGATGAAACCATGTCTTTTTGCCAGGCGTCCTCATATCGAGCCAAAAGAAGTTTTCTATTCACATCACGTACCAATTTAGTATCTGTAGCACCCGGACAAAGTGCCATCACCTTAACGCCAGTTAAATCTACATGATATTGATCCTAAAAATTGAAAAGAAAATTAGTACATCCTTTCTGTAATTAATTTAATAAAAGAAACTTTTAAATATCAGTTAATAAGTTATTAATTTATATTTTCTAAATCTTTGAACGCGAATTTTTTAGTTCCTTGTTTAACTTCTTTCAAATAATGAAAACCATTGAAAAACCGTCGATTCTTATTATTCTGAGATAATAATTGCAATCGCTAGATGAGATCGAGATATTTAAAAGATACTTCTTACCCCAAAAGCTCTGGTGAAGCTGACAAGAGCTGCTTTTGTTGCAGAATAAATTGGTACGCTGACGTAAGGGTTAATGCTGACATTGCTGCCAGTATTGATGACGACACCACCCTGACCACCCCTATCGGTGCCCATAAATCGTTGAGCAAGCAAAGTACCGCGTATTACTCCATTCTATAATTATATTTGTAAAGAGATCTCAATTTTTGCCATGCATATAAAAAATATTATTTTATACGGAACATTTTAAATTTAATAAAGAAGCAAATATAAAAATACATAAAATACAATCGGATCACTTCGATTATAATAGAAAATAAACGTGACATTAAAAGCGAAGAAATGATGAATTTTCATAAGAAGTCGTAAATCTTTTAACGCAATATCTTTTAAAGATTAATTTTTACAAACATATTATTGAAATGGAACATGCAAAAGAAATCTTTCTGAGAGAAAGGAAGGAATCTATTAGATATTTGCTTACAAGATTAATGTCTACTTCAAGCTCCCAAAATCGGTCATTCATGATACCAGCATTGTTGATAACGATATCAATATGACCGAATTCCGTGATCGTTGTCTGAAACGATTCTGCAAATTGAATTGCATTGTATGCTAAATAACAGTTGCATTACAAATAAAAATGATATACATATATGTATATACGCGTTAGCCATTTATGCAATGATTTAGAAACAAATCGACGATAGACTAGAAATCGTGAACGACTATCGCGAATTATCATACCTTCGAATTGCAGATAATCCGTGACATCGCACTGCGAAAAGATTACACGACCTTTACCATATTTTTCGGATAATGTTTCTACCAGTTTCTCTCCTTCTTCAGTATTTATATCACATATAGCCACCTGTATATAATAAAAAATTACTGAATTCAATAATATCAATAAAGTTCTTAATTATCTTTTGGTTTTTATATCAAAATTTATTTTAAAATTATATATAATATCAAAATTATTTCTCAAAATAAATCTAAAAAAAACATTCCCATTGTGTGCTGGATACAATTGAGCACCTCAATGTCATTTAAACTAATCTAATCTTAAGATTAAATTCGGTAACACTGACGGTTTATTAAACATGATGATCTTTATTTTTAGGAATAATTGTCATTATTTCGGAATAAATTTATGTATAAAAAATCACTTTTATACATAAAAACCGAAGGATGATTCAAACCTTTTTTATAATCTTAGCATTTTACATAAATTTTACATAAATTGTATATTATATGAATTGTTTGAAAGATATAAGATTATTGCATACATATATAAATTGTTTTAAATTTAAATTTGTATAGGTAGAAATTTAGTTTACGCTATTAGAAAATTAAAATTAAATAATTCTAAAAGCAGAAATAGTATATTTATCAATAAAAAAATTGATTACATAAAATATAATATTGTATAATATAACGAAATAATGCAACTACTCAAATAAATATTTTGAAATAAATAATGTAATGTGTACCATATACTTATCATCGATTTAACTATATATTTATCGTCAATTATGACGAATTTTTTTCTCAAAGACACAAGCAACTTTTTCTGTCTGACAAGTCTAAATATAAATCAGCTGTTTTAAAAGAAAATACGCATCGAAAGATCTTTGGAATGCTTGTTTTGCTTGAAATTCCAAGTCGTGAAAACAAAACATGACTTTGATCTCGTTTGAAAAATTAAATAATGAAATTTTTTTTTTCGAGAATAGTTCTCGAATACAAAAAGTGTGAGACTATAAAGGATTATTAAGTATATATGTTTTCTTCTAAATTATAATTTTATAATGTACCTTGGCACCTTGATTCAACAGTTCGATGGCATACGCTTTACCTATGCCGGATGCAGCTCCTGTTATTAGGGCAACTCGCCCTTTTGCTTCCATTTTCTTTAAGTTTTTATCTTCTCTCGTATCTGAAGGTATAATTAGACAATAACATATCAGTATTCTTGGATTAATGTTTTTTTGAATTAATAAGAAAATTATAATATTGTGAAAAGGATTGTACTTGTTTAGCGTGTTCAAATTTTAATTAGAAAATTTGGACGAAGATATTAGCATATTGAATATATACAAGAATCTTTTAGCTGTACATTATCAGTTGAAAGGATCAGCCAAAAAATCAGCCTTAAAAAATCAATATTAATTTATATCTGCCAACAAATTTTTACGTTATAAATTTATAAATATGCCCTGCATTATAAATATGTCCGTTAAAGTAAATTTAATTATTATTTCGTTAAAATTAGCAAACTAAAAGTCCTTTTAAATTTTTAAAATTGTTTATTAATGTTTAAATATTAAATTTTAAATTTGTTTTATGTTTATAAATATGCCCTGCGTTATAAATATGTCCGTTAAAGTAAATTTAATTACTATTTTGTTAAACTTAGCACACTAAAAGTCCTTTCAAATTTTTAAATTTGTTTATTTAACTTTGATACCAACAAGCTTCGTGTATTTTTTATTCTTTCTTTGTTCTATTATATAAACCTATTCCATTCTTCAAACAACGCTAATGTTGCTTCTATATTATGCATTATTAATTATTTTATCACTCTACATAATTGGTCGTATTGTGTAAAGTAATAAAAATTTGTCTTATCTATCTTATATCTTATATCTTGTTATTTCAAGAGGACAAAAAAGTGATACCGTTTTTTTTAGTAAATATTTCAATTTGGAATGCCTCCACATCTAACTATGTGTCTGCTATTTCTTATAAATCTCAATTCTCCGTTTTATAAATGATTAATTCATTCCTACGTATTCCAAGGGCAGAGGGCATTCACGCTTCAAGTACACCATTCGTCCACCTGTCACTTCAACCAGCATGTCGACACCAGCGAGAAAACAATTAAGATACTGATATACTAACAATCGCAAATGTTATCCACACTTTTCATTCCAATATTATGGAATTTTTTGAATTTAATCTCACGCCAAAATTTCGATATACCACTAAACAAACGCTTACAGCACAAATCCTATTATGCGTCATCTAATTCTCTACCTCTGTCGAGATAAAGTTCATTGGCTCGTTTTCCGTTCTCCGTATTATACCTTTTCAATTTCTCCACCCGTGCTGTGTGTGACGTTTTGCAATAAAAGCGGGATGAAACGAAGCTGGCTAGTTGGCTAGATTGCGATACTCGGATGCAGTGGTTCAGACGTCACGTTTTTCCTCCGTCAAAAGGGTGAGATTGACGGCGGCAAAGCAGTTCTGGGAAGGTGTGGTTGGTGGCTGATAGTGTACTGGCTGACTGACGGTCGAGACGGTCGGGGTGTACACCCGGTATAGTCCGATATTGATTGGCGCGTCTGCGTGCCATGCGGGTGTGCGCGACGCCGGCCGGTGCGTGCCCTTCATACACGTGCGTAAATGCGTGCTCTTGCAATCCCTCGACAGACTATGCGTCGGTCCCGTGGTCCCTTTTATTTTTAGAAACATCACCGAAAAAGCGACCGCGCCCCCCGAAAGTAAAAGTTCAAAAGTCCTTTTCTTGAAAAATTGCAGAGATCGTATAGAGTGAAATTTGTTTGATCTTGAGGAGAGAAAAATATATCTTCTCGCTTTAATATTTTATTATATATATTGATTTTATAATTATTATGCTGTTGTGTTGTATTAATTCATTTAATTTGGACTTCTCTATAAGAGAGTACAAAATGTATGTTTATTCTGATTAAAAATTTAGACAGTTGAGTTTATTTAAAACAGTTTCATCTATTATGATTGTTTTTTAAACTATCGATTAAAAACTGTTATACCTATAAGTTAGAAAAATTGTTAGAAAATTGTCATATAAATTTATAAATACGATTAATGATATAATAATTTATATACTTTACAGGGGATATGACATATCTGCGAGATAAAAGTTGATTTAATGAGCACTTATGTTTGTCATTTAAGTTACGCAAACTGTTTGGATATACACCTAACATAAAAAAAGGCGTAGTCTTAAATATACAAGCAGTTACTGCTTTTATTTTAAATTTCACATGCAGAATACATAAATCATTCATATATTTGTGTGTATTCATATATTTATTGAGATATGCCGATATATTAAATTAATTAAATAGTTACTTATTGAATATCAAAAACTTGTACTTAGTCTTTCTTTTATTTTAGATTTTACATATAATACATAAAACATTAACATGCTTATTAAGATAACGTTATCGATATATCAGTCACAAACAAATGCTTCTCGAATATTTAAATCTTGTACATACCTATTTGCATGTTCTTAACATAGCTTACTAATCAGCAGAATATTATTGGTAAGTTACTTGATTTCACATTATTTAATAGATTATGTTGCGTAAAAAATTATCAATAATCAAACTAGACAAAGACTATTTTTTTATATTTAATAAAAAATATATTTGTATTTTACAATATGTTTATCGTTAAAACTCATACACATATTTTATTAAATATACAAAATGAATATTTTTAATTAAAAAATTAAAGTTTATTAAAGCAATATATTTTGGTAAAGGTCCGGTAAAACAATAGTGTCCAAAAATTCTCATTTTAATATAGCTTTGCATAATAACTAACTGTAATAAAATATATTATTTCACTTTATAAAGCTATTATAATTTATAAGCTAAATTTATTTGCTATTTTGTTTTTTGCAGTTGTTTTCAAGGACTATGATAAAAACTTTTATGTTTATTAGTTTATATTAGCCTTTTCAGTCAATTTTTGGCTAATATTTTTATTGTACAGCCAAAACATTTTTTAAACCCAACTAATCTAATCTAATCTGATCTAAATTTTCAGATTCATTTATTTACTGCTATGAATGCAGAGTCACATTAAAATCAGAATTTCCGAGTTGCAAGTCCCTTGTTAGTTGTCAATATAAACTCATGCGTTGAGCTAGATGGCCTTTTTAGATTACAGTTGTTGATTAAAAACTTCACTGTTATTTTAATGTGGACTTTGTCTTTACGAGTATGTGCAATCGTTTTCTGGGAAACGATATATATGCCATTTTATTAATTTTATTATTATGAATATTTAATTTAATTATTATATGCAACATTTACTTATTTTTATGAGTACATATATATATAATTAATAGAGAATGCATAGCATCTAAAACGTTTTGATCACTAAAGTTTTGATCTTTTAAGTGTGCGTTTTTTATTTTTTATAAAAATTTATACAAAGTTCAACTTATGATTTCACTTCACTAATGAATGTTTCGAATTTTCTCGAATGCCACTGAACTTAAAACTACACTTACTACACAATGAGGAGATGAAGATATTCACAGCGCCGTCTTATGGATAACGAATCTCGTACGAAGAGAGACCCTAACGAATTGAACGTCATGCAGATCGTGAGGTCGGAGATCGTCGAATGAAAACAGTGACTTCTTCCATATCGGTTCAAGGAGGTTCTCTGGCTAAAGACTCGCGTCGCAGCTGGTAGTCTCATCGATAAAGAAACATCTTGATTTCGTGCAGTTAATTGTTTTATTGTAAAAAATATAAAATTCGCGAAATTCATATATTGACGTGTTTTAGATTTTTCATAAGCAAAGAAATATACACGAAAGGGATTGTTTGCTGGAAAATTAGTGGAGTAATGCAGATCAAAGATAAACGAGTTATAATAACTGGAGCAGCAAGTGATGTGGGTCTGGCATTTAGTAGGGAGCTGCTGCGAAATGGCGCTTTGGTATGTAATTTAATATAATAATATTGTGTAATATTCATATACGTATATAGATATATTAGTTGTAACTATTATATAATAAAATATTAAACTTCTTTCAAAAATATTCATTAAGCTCATCGATGTTTTATTGTAAAAATTAATAGAACAGTTACTAATATTTCAGATGATAGTTATGATCGATATAAAGCAATGGATTGGAGAACAAGCTGTAGAGAGTTTAAACAATGAGTTTGGCCGCAAACGAGCTATATTTCTTTGCTGCGATGTAACAAATAATTCCGAATTTGACAGTAAACATAAGTCTATTTCATGTTATTAATTTGTATTTTATTAATGCACACACTATAATAAGCAAACTCAAACATTGCTTACATAAAGTTGCTTGCAAAAGTTAATTTAATTTATAACTTTTGCATTTAGGGAATATTTGTTAAATTTCATTCAAAACTAAAACTATTAATTGTTGCAGCCAAGTTGAAAGAGGCAATCAGCATTCTCGGTGGACTAGACATTTTAATAAACAATGCAGGCGTAATAAATGAAACTGACTTTTCCAAAGCTATCGATGTTAATGTTGTGAGTTTTATTCCTTTCTTGTTTCAATTTTGTGTAATTATATTACTCTTGTAAGGAAATATATTGGTCACAAATATCATCGAAAGCTTTTAAATATTTTCTGGTAACAAGTTATTTTACACATTTTTAATTATAAAAAAATTGTATTTAAAAATATTACATGTAGCGCGCGCGTTTTCGAATTTAGCTAACTATGTCTCAATTGAAAATAAAATTGTGATAATAAGGGAATTTTAGATTAAATAAAGTTCCAAAATATTAAATTCGATATTGCAGACAGCTGTAATTCGTGGGACTCTTCTGGGGATTCAACAAATGCGAAAGGATTCTGGTGGCAAGGGTGGTATTATCGTAAATATTTCGTCTATTGCCGGATTACGAGCTGTATCTCAACTTCCAGTATATTCTGCTACAAAACATGCCGTAGTTAGTTTCAGCCGTTCCTTTGCGGTAAGTATTTACATTAAAAAATATAATGTATAATAAAATTTATAATAATTATAATGAATAACACAAAGTGACTTTAGAATTTCACGTTTTTTTATCGTTTGATTTTTTTTATGTTTGCGGCAATGGAAACATTTGTTTAGTATCATAAAAACTATAAAATATCTCGAAACTGAGTAAGGTTTCTTTTTTTATAAGAAATCTGCGAGATCTTTTTTTGAAGACTATAACTAATTTTAGGAACAATTAAACAATTCCTTTTCTTTCTTTCTTGGCAATAAATTTGTATTTTAAATTTGTTTTTCAAACTTTGAAATTTGATGATAATTTTATCTTATTAGATATGATAAAATGTGTGGACGCTGTTTTCTGATGTATTTGAATTTTTGTAATTCTTATAAGGATGACTTAAAGAGGACATAAGAAAGAAAAATATTAAATTTTAGTGTTGTTGTAGCAATAAATTAAAAATTGTTTGCAATAATGAATAAAGCATATAAAAAGTATATTTCATACATATCTTATGTATAAAAATTATTTTATATAAAACATATAAAAGCCTATAAAAAGTTTAATGAGATATTTTTTCTTTACAGCAACCTTATCATTATGAAAGGACTAATGTAAAAGTAATTGTTCTGTGTCCCGGTTTGACCGACATTTCAGAAGTATCGCAGAATATTTCAAACGTTAATAGTTTGCAGAAAGATCGACATCAGAAGTAAGACTGACGCTAATTTATAACTGACACACTCCAATAAAAATGTACATAAAATACAAAAAATAAATATGTTGCCAGGGTGGAGAGTGTTGCTCATGGATTGATATACGTAATTCGATGCGCACAGAACGGCAGTGTGTGGATTAGCGAGGATGGAAAACCGGTTTTTGAGGTGCAGCTTCCCGATACTTTGCCGCAAAAAACTGAAGTCGATGCACAGAACTAGCTGCTAATATAAAATTGATCGCAGATTAAATATTGTTATAATTTACTATACAATACTAAATAATACTTTTACAAAAAATATTTTGTTAAATAAAATCTGTTTTTGATTAATAGAAATTGTAATAATTGTAATGTGAAATCTGTAATAAGCTTTTAATAGATTTTTGGTAATAAATAGTGTGTTTATTGTTAAACAGATATTAAAGCCTTTTTTAAAAGAAATAAATGTGAGCATAAAGCATAATAATATTTTTAATAAATAGTTTATGTTAATTTTATAAATGAATAATATTGAAAATATTAAATCTATTGGTTAAATGAATTAAATATTAAATGTATAATTAAATTTTTTACTTTATTGGATAACTAGAGATTTAAAAATAACTTTTTAATATCTCTAATAAAATGTGAAAAAATTCGTCAATTTAAATTTCTTTTTATAATTTATTTTATTAAATATATAAATAATAAACTAAACAAAGTGTCTTAGAGAGTTAAGCCATTCTGAAGGATTAAAAAAATAAAAAATATTTTTTTTGTCTTAACTTTATAATCCTAAAAGATACAATTAATTTCAATACAAAATACAACTTTTAAAATGAAGCCTTTGATGAAGCACGTCACAACGTCATCGAGCGTTTTAGAATGATTCGTAGCGACACGAAGCGTTTGAATTCATAAAGTATCTAAAGAGATCATTTATCGACGAAGTATAAATTTCAGTATACTTGGCACTTAGTATATTCGATCGGCACTCTCGGTAGTATACTTATATACAAAATGTCGTAAAACAAAACTTTAAACATCTTTTTCTCGAAATCACTTGTTTCAAATTGGCTAGCAGCATAACTTTAACAATTTTTATTCAATTCACTTGAAATCTTGACAGTACCTTTTATACTAAATTATCTACAAAAGTATATACGAATTTTGCGATTGAAAACTTTCTTCTTTCTTGAACATACATATAAAATCTTGATGAATATGGAAACCTCTAACTTTCGTGGCTTATATTATCGAAATATATATTCTTGTGCATCTAAATGATGCTCTATTCCTCTCTTAAATGGCCTCATAATCATTTAAATCCGTTTGTGGAAGAAGCAAGCAATAATCGCTATCGTTACAAACCGATAATTTACATGTAGTTTTAAATGTTTGTCAAAAACATTTAAAAATAATAATAAAAGCTAATAAATTAATCTCAGAGTTTAATCGTACTTTTACTGATAAGGCAGTATCGCACTATTTTAACAAGTTATAAATTCTAAAAACTCGAAAACAATTTCTTTTAATTATATATTTATAACATTATATATCGATAAAATAATATTTAAGAAATAATTAATACATATTATATTTCTTTAGATCACGCAAAACTATAAAGCTGCACTGCGGCATATAAAGAATACAAGAAATCACATTTTCACAACGACGTTAGTTATAGTAAAAAATATTCCACAAATCAGTGATCATTTGAACCAATTATTAACTGTTTGATACGCAGAGACTGTAATCTTTTACAGACGATGCGTATTTATGAACCGCTCTGAATCGCCGCAACGGATGCAAAATACTCACACAGGCGCGAATCTCGCGTTTTTGCGGCGTGCAGCGTAGTACGATAACTAAGCAAAAACCACAAAAGAAATTACTTTCCTTCTCGATTCCGAGTAAAGTTCGATCGGAACCAGTTCGTATCGGTTATGGTATCGACTCGAAGCGGACATGCGCGGTCTCTCGGCTAATTTATCATCGGCGCGACGCCGATCAGACGTTAAGTGCGCTTTTTCTATTGATAAGTGCAGTGAGCACGAGCTGTGCGCACGTCAAGCTCTTATCACCGTTTTGTGCCACACGACTGTACGCTAAGTACGTTATTTCTAAAGTTCACCGACGCCACGAGCGATTGATAAGCGTCCCACATAATTTGCAAATAACCGCAAAAATTAAAAAAATAAATAAAAAGTAATGTTTTCGGTCTCTTCTTTTCTTGCGTTGTTTGCTCTCATTTTAAGATTGATGGTTTATCTATATTTAACCGATTTGCCAAGGATAAATTTATCATAATCTTGTATTTGCATATATATAATATTTTATAATATATATAAATGTATCAGATGTTCTCTTTTATTTATAATTACATTCTATTATATTTTTCATAAAATATAAAATTAATAGAAATATAAAAATTTATAATAATATAAAGATTAGATAATGACTAATATGACAATTCGTCGTAAATGACTTCGGTGATTTTTGTTAATTTTAATCACAAAATTCTCGAAAGGAAAAATATAAATTTCCTAGATAATGATGAAGCCACGATATAAGGTCATTTGATTAGAGTTGACTTATGATAAGCCTGCCAATGACATCGATAACAATTTATCGTATTGCTCGTTACAACTACAATTACGCGAGCGGCCACAGACTTTTAACAAAAGTTATATCATCCAATGACCGTCGCGTACTCGGAACGATAGTTCCACGCCTTTAAGTTTAATCTGCTGTCAATCATTATTTTATTTTGTAAATATTATACACACACGTATACAAAGTGTTCACTTACGTCAAATGCCGTACGCTAGTGTTCTGTGAATGTCTAGCTAAGCATTTCCGCTCGTATAAATTTGCAAAGATATACAAACACATTTAAGTGCAATCATTCGCGTTTTAAGTCTATTTCTTTTTTATTACGTTTTACTGCGTTCTCTGCATTTAAACTGAATACATGTGTATACTTAGACCTCGAAGAAAAAAAAATTATAACACAAAAAGAGTTCAACTAAAACGAACGGAAGCGCAATTCTTATAGAAATTTAATACTTAAAAATTAATAATTAATTGCTTATTTTAAATAATAAAAGCATTTTTGTTTAGTGCTTTTAATACTCAAAATAAATAATTTTCAGTATTAAATTAACCAGTATAAATTAAATTTCTGTAAGAGAGTAAAAATAAAAATGCATTAAAAATTAATTTGAGAGTAATGTAAATTTATAAGTACATCGTCTGGAAGCTGCAGTACGATACATCAGGAACATAAAAGGGCAAAAGTATTTCTTCCTTTTGTACGGTACTGCAAATAATCTACGAGCCACCAGCCGCAGTTCCGTCTCCCGTGACTATCATAAATTTCTATTAACCGAAATGGCTCGGTAAAGTAAAATCAAATATGCAAAACAAATATTTTTGCAGGAAACTTTAAAAAGATACATAGATACTGAATTATGCGTTTTAATAACTTTTTATTTCGCTCGCACGCGCATTCGCTTGTCAAACGCACTTTGATCACTTCCGATATCTTGCTTCATTTTAAACATAACTTTATAAACATGTCTTTATAAATAAGTAATATAATATATTTATTTTTCAAAAAATAAGTATGTATTATGTAAAATATATAAAAAGCATTTAACATTTCTTATATATTCTATGATGTGTGTATTTATACATATAATTGAAAAACTTGTTAAATTTTTAATATATATTCAAAATTTCAAATTAATTTAACACAAGATAAATGTATTAAAAAATAACACAGATATTATATATGTAAAAAATTAATATAAAAATATAATATTTTGAAACAAATTATAAAATTATTTTTCAGTAAAATTAACATTTATAATATGTTAAATTTACATTTCATTTATCTTAAACTTTTAAATTACATTATTTTCATGTTATTTGTTCAATTACTCATAATATTAAATAAACTATTTAATATTTTAGCACTAAAAATTTTGTATTAAATGTTAATTTAACACAAAATATTTAAACAATACAACAATACGCACACATTATATTAAATAAACACTCATATATTATTACATTAAAAATTTAATATAAAAGTTTTAACATCTTGTATTTGTGTTAAAACCGATTTTTTCACGCAAATATAAAATGATTTTTACTGTGTATTATATTAATAAAATAAATTGTTATAGTAAATATTACGTAAAAAGCAATAACATTGTTAAAGATGCAATTATTTAATTAATGATCTACTGACAGTCTAGTTGCTTAGTCTAGTATTCGTAGCAAAACAATACACTATTATTATCTTCAAGTAAAAGAGAAAGCGCGCTTCAATGCCTCTCGGTCTGCGTCTCGGTGTCCTGTATATCCAGTATCTAGAAAACACATTGCCACGATGCGATTAATTAGCCTCTGCGGAAGGGGTTAATTAGGGTAAGACGCTATCAGGAACACTGAGAAAAAAGAACGACGAGACGCGACTGATCAGTCTAGTGAGAGGGAAGATAAGAAAAGACAAAATAAGAGGACCGCAATAGATCAAAAAATCTTAAAAATTATTATTATCGAAAGTAATAATCTTGTTAAATAAATCATTTATTTAATAATATTCTTCTGCAGTGTTGTCGCTTTTTATATTACTTTTTATATCATAATTTAGTTTTGATATCTGTTTTCTTTAAATTGAAGAGTTAACTTGAAGTTCCATAATAATAATGATCAAGCCCAGTAATTATTCATCAATAAATAATCATTATAATTTTCTTGTATCAGCAATTATATAAATAATTATATATCTAACGTATCTTTTACAAACTAAAAAAAAACTTGATAAAAAAGCTGAATTATATCAGTCTAACAAATTTAATGATATTTTAATCCATTGAGTCTAGTATAAATATATGCTCACAATAAAATGCGACATCTTTAGATTTCAAACACCTTTGACAATGTCGAGTTTTAAAGAGAAAATTCAAAAATTTCTTTTTTATCATAATTGTCCGATCTATATATCTGCAGTCTACGTAATCTACAGCCCGAAGTCCACCTTTCACCCTCTGGGACATCCCCGCCATGATGGAAACTTAAGTCGCAGTATCGCGAAATCCCACATCGCTGCTTATCGTATATAAATACCATTCGAATGGTCTCGAAGTTCAGTCGAAACATACATATTACCAGCACAAGCTCCTGATTCTTAAACTTTACGCCTAAGAACTTAAACCGGAAATTAGTTTATTTCTTCACATATCCAAATATCCAAAGCAGTTTCATTCATGGAGAATACAGTAGGTAAGTCTGCTTCTTTCATCGAGAAAAATATGTGTCTATTAATATGTTTTGTCATAAAAAATGTGATTAATATGAAAAATAAGTGTTTTTTGATTATTTTATTTTTATAAAATATAATTTTAATAATTATATTAATAATTGTATAAATAATGTTTTTATAATTTTTTAATTTTATTTCCTAAGATAAATTATTATGTAAGGCTCTTTTTTATAGAGTGGAGCGAAATAATTCTCATTATTCAAATAATGAAAATTTACTTTATCAAAAAAAATTGTAATATTAATAACATGTATTTTAATATTACGAGTTTTTCAGATAAAGAACTTTCTTTCTTTTATAAAAAAAGTTTTATGTTATAGAACCAAGTTTGAGAATCGTTCGTCGTCGTTCTTCAGCATCCGAAAGGGCGAAAGAGATAGAAGCGATCAATTGCATTGTTTCTGGAAAAAATGTTCTAATAACTGGCGGTGCAGCAGGATTGGGCTACGCCTTTCTTAATCATTTCTTGAAGCACGGAGCAAAGGTATGTTTAATAATTAAGATAATAATTTGCAGTATAAAAATTCAAAAAACTTGTAGGAAATCTACATAAATCAGCATTACATAAATAATTTAGAATTCTCTATAAATCTATAAACTACATATTGTACATTTAGAAAAAGTCTATTATTCAAATAAGGCTCAAATTTTATAATATAAATGTATAACTATATAAAAAGTTTTTTGTCAAAATTTATATAACATTTCCGATAATTAAGAAAATATATTCTTTTCTAACACCATCCTTTAATTAAATTAATATTATTCTGCAGATTAAATTATTTATCTCTCTCCTGTTAGATATAAAATATATGTAATTGCTGTCCCTAATTCTACTAAATTCATAGAATGGCATTAGCTGTTACAATATTTATAAAATATTAATATCATCTCAGCACTATTATATTTAAATTTATTTTATATTTGTTACAGAAAATAATTATATTAGATATCGATGCTGAAACTGGCAAACGAATTGAGCTCGGTGTTGAAAAATCTTGCGGCGAAAAGAAAGTACACTTTATACATACCGACGTATCTAATCATAAACATGTGACTGGTAAATATGGAGCAAGATTTTCAAATTGCGTAGATATATGTTATATATTGAACTTTTTAGAATATCTTTGAACTTTTAGAATATTATTTTTGTTTGTACCAATTTATAGAAGCTTTTGAAGAAGCATCAACGCTATTAGGAAACATTGACATCGTGATAAATAACGCTGGCGTTTTAGATGAACGAAGATGGGAGAAGGAAATCTCGGTTAACATTGTGAGTATCGTTAATAACAATTTATTGATTTATTAATAACTTTACCAATGATTTCCTAATTTTATCATTTCTTTATTTTGCGATGTTTTCTTTCTTAAAACTTTTACAATGTTTTTCTTACCTCACATATATTTCAAATAATTTCGTGATTTTTGTGTCATAAGATGATTTTACCAAATTGCATATAAGAATATATAAAAAGATTAGAAAATAAATATCATTAATAAGTACTCTTATAGAAATCTAATACTGATCAATTTATTACTGAAATAGTAATTAATTACTTATTTGGAGTACTAAAAGTATACTGAACAACTTCAAAGTATTTTTAATTCTTAAAATAAATAATTGCTATCTTTCAGTACTAAGTTGATCAGTAAGCATTAGGGAGCACTTATAATGGCTGTAGCCATAATCTGTATAAGAATCGACTAATTACAGTAAAGTATTCTTCTGTTACAGTTGAATGTCAGGGATTGACCAATCAACTGTGATTAGTCAATTTTTACAGATTACAGCACACGGTTAGAGCCAGTACAGTATAAAATGCTCTCTTAGATTTCTATAAGGTGTAATACCTGTAATAATAAAAATAAAGATTAGATCCTAATGTGTGGTATATCAATGTTAGGGAGGCATGGTCAGCACCGCAATGCTAGCTGTACAATATATGAGCAGAGATACGGGCGGTCACGGTGGTATCTTGGTAAACGTGAGCCAGCATGTGGATATTCGAAACACAGCTCAACTTCCGGTTTACACTGCCACGAAGCACGCCGTCATCGGTCTATCGCAGTCTCTATCGGTAATTATACATAATTGAACGCAATTAAGTCCATCTATTATTCAAGCAATCATCCTAAAATAGTTACTTACAAACAAAAAGTATAGTTATTTATAAACTTCCAATATTCTACAAGATTGTTATCTTGTGGATTGTAAAATAATGAAGTATTTAATTTTTATTATTACTTATTATATGTATATATTATTATACGAAGTTTTCGTAATTACGTTTACTCTGCAACAGGATCCTTATCATTACGAGAAGACCGGTGTTACCGTGATAACTTTGTGTCCAGGACTGACGGAGACCGCCTTAACAGTAGATAGCCCTAATAAACTTCTTTCCAGAGTCATGAAGGCAGATTTCGTTAAAAATCTTGAACAGTTTCCAATACAAACGTGAGTCATTATTAAAATTGTCTCTTATCCAGTCAGAAATGATAATGGAATCGACATCGAATGAACATCAATTTAATGTCGATTTCATTATTATTTCTCTGACTGAGTATGTCATAAACGTTTGACACAAAACAGTCAGATAAATTAACCAGTGCATGCTGGATAATAATAAAACATAATAGCGTTCCTGCTGTAGAATTAAATTATAATATAAATGCGAGTCTTTTGTTCCTTCAATAAATTTTATAATAAATACGATGGTTGCTCAGAAAGTAATGCCCCACATTTTTTTCTTCATCCAATAATAAAGTAGAAAAGTGAAATTTTACATGTTGCAAATTTGAAGTTTGAAAAATTTAGGGCATATTACTTTCTGAACACCTCTTGTAATTACAAATAAATTACTTATCAATTTTTTTTTAATGAGACACAACTTCCAGTGAAGATTTAGGTCTTTGTGATCACACTTCTTAAAAGTTCCGTAATGGTCAACCGGGTCAAAATAATTCCAGAGTACATTTAACCAATTGATATTATTCACAATTTTCGTTCAAGAAAATTAGTTAAGTCCGCTCCGGGATCATTTTGATTCTAGTGCGATCATAAAGGGTTAAAATATCAGTTCTATAAAATTTAGTTCGTAGATCCTGACATAAACGTTACATCTCTTCCGGTGCTTACATATGACCGCCAATTCAGCAGATATTTCTCAATGGCTCATTGCTGTTTAATCTTGTTTTTGCAGACCTTACATAGTCGCGCAGGGTCTGATGACGATATTGAGGATCGGTGAGTCTGGCAGTATTTGGGTTATCGAGAGTGGCAAAGCGCCTTACGAGGTTTATGTACCGAATCCGCGTACTCTGCGTCGTCATTATAAGAACAACTTCCCACACGTTGATACTAAGGTCACGGGAGGTCGCGCGATAAGAGAAGTCTGCGACAGTACGAGGACAGGTTTGATGAGCTGCGCCTGATAATCGACAAGCGCACGACCATGATCTCTCTGTTTAGGGCTGAAAATCTTCGATCCACGTCATCCGGAGACTTTGTATTAGAAGATATTTCATATATAGATCAGTGTAACCGGAAGTGCAGAAGACGAGATGCAACTGAAGCGATACTTCACGGCAAATTGTATTCCCGAGATTCTCCGTAGATAATTTTGTATTATAAAATTTCATGCATGTTTTCTTTTTCCTCAGCCATCCAACTATATCCGCTGGTTCACGTTTCCGTCATAATTTCCTTAATTACACGCATACATGTTCAATCTTTTTTTTTTTATTTCTTATTAATAACGCCAGATTGTATGAAGGTGCCTGTGATAAAAAAATTTTATAATAAATATTTTTTAAAAATAAACTAATCTGAAAATAAGACCTTCAAATTTTTCATGCAAGTTTCGTACTGAACTTTTAAGATTATAACTCATTACATGCTGCAAACTACAATCGTATTCGTTATAAATGGCGACTTTCGATTATATTGATACTGGGAATTTATATTTATAATGTGTTAATAATGCGTTGACGATTACTTTCGAGCTATTTAAAAATATCGGACGTGAGAAGTCCATGTGCAAAAAAAAAAAAAGAAAATAAAGTAGATTCAAGTTACGAACAAACGGGACCCGTTAACCTATGTTTGCGATATCGTGTGTAATAAATCATTCTAATTTACTGTGTCGCTTATCAAGCATTTAAAACACTGGATATAGCGTATGGAAGACGCCGTTTTTTTTCTTTTTACATACATTCTAATCACACCGCATATAATACGTAGCACACTTTAGTATCGCCATACGCACGTAGTTTTACCAACAATGTTCGAGTCCTATTAAAGACGTTATATAATTTTATTTACATCTGAGTACATCTCCTTTTTTGAAAAACTGCACAACACGCATCTCTCATATCTCGAGTCGCTCTTTAAAATTCGCGTAATCTAGCATTTAAATTTGTAAACCGTCATCTTTCATATTTTGCGCATTTTGTCGAAGGGCGAGTAAGGACGACCCGCGCTTTATAGTTCTCGACGTTACAACTTTGTGAAGAAATAAGAAAACTTTTCGTTCGATTGTTGGAAAAGTAGTGTGTAGGAGATCGGAAATGACACGACGACGTGTTATTTCATCATTTCAATATTATTCACCATCGGAAATCACAATATATCCGCTGTACAAAACAAAAATTCATTCTCGCGTACATTATAAATTTTTCACATGCTCAGAGCATGAAACTTAAAAGTTAAATTTACCATATCTTTTTTTTCTATTCATTTATTTCATTTTATAGTCCTTCCTTTTACTTCATTCTGCATTTTCTCTGATAACCTATTGGAGGTTTGCTTATCAGTTATGTAAATCTCAAGTTGCGTACATGTATGTATGTGTATATGTGTGTGTGTGTGTACATATATATGATATTTGTATGAGTTTGGGGACTCTGTACGAGCCATAGAAAAATAATAGTCGCAAATAATGTTCTTATTCTGTTTCTTCCACGTCTTATATTTTTAAGGATATTATCATGCTTTTATTCTTATTCGCATCGCCATTTAACACAATTCTACTCACAGCGTCTTCGTGCATTCAAAAGGATTCTTCGAGAGCGTGAATAATTAATTATAATCAAATTATGAATAAATTATTTTTATGCGTTTAACGCTTTGAAAATCTTTGTTATAGGTTTCCGAATTTGCATGACTTATGCATACTTGGATCCCATTTATATTTATACACTAATAAAGTGCTATTCCAAGATTGAAATGATTGGGTAAATTTATGAAAAAATTATTAGATTAATTACTTTCATTTAAATATACATGTATAGTCATTATTGTACATAATATTGTAATACAGTATTATGCCATTTAATAATAAATTATTATTTTAAATATTTTTTGCTTGTATACATGTATATTGAATACAAATTTTCCTTGGAATAAGTGTTATTATACTAGTTTCAGAGTTAACAAAAAACAAAAAAAAAACCAAATTAATAAAATACTGATTTAAGATTACAGTTTTTGAAAAAAAATACTTTTAATAAGCGCATCATACAAATTTCATATCTGATATAATTAATCACTGATTATAATGCAGATATCTATTTTATAGTTTTACTAATTAAGCTACTCTTACATATGAGAGCAATCGAGGAATCCTTATTTGCAAAACACGATGACAATTATGTAACACATGATTTAGAACTTAGTTACTTACAATAAGATTGACACTTACATCTTTCATAATTCTAGATGCAGATCTTGCAAAGAAAGAGTAGGCGGACAATAAGATTACAATTTAATAATACAAAAATTTTCATATAAACTGGCTTTCCCACTTACGTTCATCCACCCTAATAAAATTATACGTTTATATAAACTTCGTGCCGAGGACTCGAAAAACTTTGTCTGCGTACACTCAAAAAAACCAAAACAAAAGAAAAAAATATAATTTTTATCAGATTTATCTTGTACTATATAGCTCATATTTCTATTCTCGACAAATGCAATTAGATACAATCGATTTTTACATACTTTGACGAGAAAGTACTTTTATGCACGTCTATTGCCATTCACTTCCGATATACGGATACAAACCAGCTATTCCATAACGACCAGTATTATCAAGTCACCATCATCATAAAGCCATTCCATAATAATATAGTCAAATCTTGAGAAAACCGACTGAAGAATGATCACGATTGAATTGTACAATTTTTTCTCTAACTATAAACAAATATACTATTGTTTATAAAGCAGTTTTAGATTACTCTATTAAGAATTTTGTTAACAGACATATCAAGTAAAACTCATGACTAGCCTTCTTACGAATAACTTCCTTGATTATTTAGACATCTGAATTCACACAAATAAGTATCAATGTAAAAAAGACCAGGGAACGATCTGATCATATATAATTGACTTTACTTTCCTAACAAAAACATTCTATTCTTTTAACACCAATTTATCGTGATCATTGTCGATTAAGAAAATTTGTCTCTAAAAGTACCTTCTCCAATCATCTAGTCGCAAAATATCGATGCAAAGAGTCATATGCGCCAGCAACGTCCATATGTGCGATTCTTGTCACCTAACACGTAATCACCAGTTTAGCGATTGTAAACGCGTTCCGTTATATAATATAATCTACATTTAATTCGGCCGTATGTATCTTCTGTGTTATTCGACTGCCAAATTCTAACCCAAATCAGTCCATAACGTAGAGCACATATCGTAAAAATCTTAATCTATAGTTGTGTATACTTATACATAGCAGCACATCGCTTTATTCTCTCTCTAGCATATTTTACTCTTCATGCCATACCGGTGACAAATTAGATTCTTTTTTTTTATTTAGATAACTTTTGTCTGCGATTGAGAGGCAGACTGTTCGTTGGTCGCGCGATTTTGACTCCCCGTGTTATTCTGTAGTTGATTAGGGGGTTTGCGATTACCGCCCCTGCTACCTCGATAGCCACCGCGGAATCCAGTGTTATTGCCGCCACCACTACCTCTGAACATGCCTCCCATTCCGCGACCGTAGTAACCACGGCCGCGGAATGTACCGCGTCTTGTAGAAGCTACACCGAATGTTTCTGAATTTAGTTTCCGTTCTGTTCTCCAATCCGTGCGTTGGAATCGCCTGGAAAAAATTTATACCATATACAAAACATTTCACAGAATTCAATAATTTTCTTTCATTAAAAAAAAAATTAAAAATATACCATAGCTGTACTGTGAATTTATACGCGATGATTATATTTATTAAATATTCTCTCGATAAAGCTTACCCTTTACTCCTTTCAACAGCTTCACAGCTAATATTATCAAAGAATGATTTCGACTTATCATAGTGAACAATTTCCGGTTCCTCCTCGGGTTCACCTTCACCAGCTCCTGTCTCGTTTCCACTGTCGTCTTTCTTCTCATTGTCAGTACCATCGATTTTCGTTTTCGCCAATTGCGACCTACGATATGACATAAATGTATTACATTAACATATAAATTAAATCATTAAAACATAATTTTATAAAACAATGTTAATGCGATGCGTAAGCGATTCGTATTTGTTGAAATTACAATTGCTTTAAATTCGCACTAATTTTTACTTTTGCATGGTCTCCACATTGGTCATTTCAACAGTTACTTGAAATGAATCCGGCACGTAACCATGCAGAATCAATCATCAGTGTTCATAACGAACATTTATGCTCACCTCAATTCTTCGAACTGAGTATTAGCTTGTTCGAAATCGTAGTCGTTATCAAACTTCATCTTAGGTTTGATACCATCCAAGTTGTTCGCTTGATTCGTACGGAAACCACCACGTCCTCGACCTCCTCGGCCTCCTCGACCTCTCATGTTGCCGCGGTTTACCCAACCACCACGGTTGCCTCGACCACCCTGCATATGACCTTGATTTTGGCCATCATGTTTCATGTCCCTCTTCGAATCATTATATTGATGAGACATACCCGCGTTGTTTTTGGTACCTCCGTGGCTAAATATAATAAAGAAACTATTTATAAAAATTTTACGAAGCTATATTATCAGCTCAACAATTAACAATAATATAAACCTATGTAGAATCGTTTCATGTTTGTATAAACAAAAAAATCTAACAAATAAATCAAATAAAAAATTGTAAAATACGATTGTATTTTCTAATATCAGGGTTCTAAAAGATAAAACTATCATATGCATAAAATTATTATGGTTTCATTTATAAAAGGAAAATTAATTTCCTAAATGAAATACCTATCATGGTCTCGACGAGGCGGTTGGACGGTCCTGATATTTGTCTTGTCATTCAATTTGCCAATGTTATTGCCCTGCTGCTGTTGTTCGTGTCCTACCTGAATACCTTGATCCATAGTTGGACTTTTCCTTGTCAATAAGGATGATGTAGGAGTGGTAGAACGGGAACCACCACTGATGAGGTCTAGTACACCTATTATTGCAACATGTGAATGTATCACATAATAAATACATTTTTATTAACCTATAGAGACCAAATAGCCGACCAAAATTGCAAGCATTTCTAGTCCAACACGAAACTTTAGTATAAGAAAATAAAGACAAACTTTTCATTCCCAAAGTTCGAAATGAAAGACTGCTACTAACTTCTACAAAAGTTTCGCGTGTTTAATGTAAAATAAATCTCTAGAGGATTTTTATAAACAATTATTATTGTTTATTATTACTGTAATTGCTATTTTGTTACATATTATAATTTAAGCGTAAATGAAATAAAATTGAGAAAAGCATGCAGATGCAAAAATATTTTCTATCGATTTTAGAAAAGAGAAACGTAAAAAACCAAATTATATACATACAGATTAAAAATG